TGTCTTTTTCCGTGTCCGGCAACGGATCGCAACCCTCAGTGTTGCCCCCGTACCGGACCGGGGACCGGCAACGGGATTGCAACCCTCGGTGTTGCTCCCGTGCCTCGCTCAGCCAGTGAGCGGGAACCGGTCTGTATGTGGGATCCGAACCCTCGGGCGGGAGTGCCACCACACTTCCCAAGCAGCACACTATCCAGTGCGCCACCAGGCCGGCCCCTGTGTTGCAATTCTTTATCTTACAACAGAGACTATATAGCCTGGGGAACTTTTCCTGTCCTTTGCAAGGTCAATATTTGAAACTGCAAGGCTTTGGAAAACCAGGTCCTGTGAAGTACGTTTGCTTTATGCATACTCTGCTGTCACCAGCCAGCACTAAAGGTTTGTTCCCAGATGACCCACAAAATGAAGCAAAACTGGAGGTGGTCTATTTGGAAAGTTTCAGGTTCACTGGTTTAAGTATTAAGTTAGCAAGATAGCCTTGTCAGCTGGAGCAGGCAGGAGGTGCCCAGAGTAGATGGGCTTATCCAGGAGGTTAATGGAGGCGGGGGGAGGTTTTCTGGGGCTGACATGTCATGTCTTGTCAATATGACCATGTATGGACACCTCTGCTCTGGGGAAGGCTGCAAGATGACAGACTGTGGGTGGTTTTGCACCCAGCAGCCATTCCCAGACCAGTGAGGAACATCAGAGAGCAAAGAAGGTAGAAGTGAGGTCTGCTTGAGACCATCCGCTCCTCACGAAGCCCTGTGCACACAGTGGGTCCACAGCCCGCTGAGGTCACAGGACCCTTTCACTGTGGCATTCTTCCTCAGATGGGAACCTGCTGAGAACGGACAAAGGGTGGCCCAGAGCTGATGGGTGGAAGAAGCCAGTGCCGCCCTTTAAAATGTGGAGATGCTAGCTCCTGCTTGCCCTTGGGGATCTTCATTTTCCCAGAATTAGAGAACCATGGGGGTTGTGGGAAGAAGCACTTGTGGGAACACAGGGGAATGGTGACCGAGGAGAGGCAGTGAGGAAGGAGGCCTCTGGTCTCTTGTTTTTGGACAATACATTTCAGGATGCCTTTTGCTACAGTCCTGCTGATGTTAACAGTTCTTTCCAGCAGATGGTGGTTTGAATGACTAGGTCTGAAATGTAGGTTTATGAGAGAAACCAGAATGTGAAAAGACTGGGAAGGGGCTGGTAAATGCAGACTTTCAAACCTGCCCCAGATCTGAGGATGGTGGGACAGTGGATGCTGACCAGCTCTCCAGGTGACATTTATGCACACCTAGTGAAGGGGGTGTGAGACCTGGGATAGCAATTCTCAACCAACCTGGAGACATTATCTAAATGTTCCTGAGCCCTACCCCAGAGTCCCTGAGTAAAATCTCTGAGTTGAGGAGGCCATGGAATCTGTCTCACAGAGCCTAGCCAGTTTGGGGAGCCACGAGGCCAGTGTAATATTTATAAAAGTATGATTTTATTGGAAATTCAAGAGTACCTAATTCTTTTTTCTCTTTTCCCTTTTATCTAGGCACTGGGAAATCATGAATTTGATAATGGTGTAGACGGACTGATTGATCCACTCCTCAAAGAGGCCAAATTTCCAATTCTGAGTGCAAACATTAAAGCAAAGGGGCCGCTAGCATCTCAAATATCAGGACTTTATTTGCCGTATAAAATTATTTCTGTTGGTAATGAAGTCGTGGGAATTGTTGGATATACTTCAAAAGAAACCCCTTTGCTCTCAAATCCAGGTATTTTCTACTTTTATAGCACTCATTGCTGGAAAATAGATGCATTAAATCACAGCTTGGAATTATCTTTGTGGACTGTAGATGGAACAAATGGTATACTTAGGATATACTGATAAAAACAATCTGGTGGATTCTACATTGTTCCAAGTTACTTCTTAAAGACGTTTCCTCTTCTACTCAATGAACTTCTCTGTTGACATAACAGTATCTTTATTTAACTTAGCACATTCAAAATTGGAAGAGAAGGCCCTTTATAGCCAGTGCTAAACAGCACAGATTCATTTACTGGAGAAAGGGAACCTCACAACTCACTCCCCTTCTTCCTGTGGTGCCAGGAGGCCCAAGGCTGGGGTTTGCCTCAATTCAGCTTCTCTTTCCTTTTATTACATGTCAACTCTTGTTTTTACCTTTTTGTTATTTATCTCTTGTAGTTTTAATGACTTTACCATATCTGGTTTTCTGGGAAAAAATGTTTTTGGACTACTTTTATAGAAACTTATTGAAACACTTTGGCAGTGAGAACAAAAATGATGCTTTCTCTAAATTGTCCAAATTCAGTGTCTCTCCCTAATGAAGAAAAAGGGGAAACTAGGAGCTAGCATTATCCAGAAACAAGAGTGTTCACTAAGGATTAACCAATAAAGAACATATAATTAACCATTTAAAAAATAATATATTTATTGTGTTGTTGTTATTAAAATAGGCCCAGGCCCTTGGAAACAACAGCAACAAGTTCAGCTGTGCTTGGCCCAGAGCAGGGAGCCTGCAAGGGCCTGTCGCTGAGTGGGTGCTGTAGCCCATGTGGAGGCAGGCAGGGCACAGAGCTTCTCTGCTGTCCACTGACAAGGGAAAAGAGATATCTGTCCCCGGTGACCAAGCCTTTGTATGCTGTGTGACACAAGTTATTAGCTGTTGTTATTACAGTCATTGTGAAGCCAGATGGCGTTGTGGACGCCCATGACTCACTGGCTTTGGAAACCTTTTGGAAGTGCTTTTCTGACTAAGAAGGATATGGTCACACTAGAGGGGGCTCATGGAAAGTCTCAGGTTGTTCTTTTCCATCTTGCCCAGCCAGACTATGGTCCTTTTTCCTTCCCCCTGCAGATGGCACTGCTCAGGCTGATCAAACCTTTCCTGGGGCTAACAGGGTGCTGTTTCTGGCTTCCTGGCTTTTATCTGCAAATAATGAGAAGGTGGAGATTGCATAGTAAACCACAGGCTGCCTGGCATCTCAACAAACCAATTGCTAATGTGGGAAAGGCTGGGGTGAGCTTTCTCCAGCAGGTTGGACACTCCTGCTGTGGGACCCCAGTGCCCCTGGCAAACACCTCCTCCTGAGCACAGCCACACTTGGTATATCACATTTGTCCCTTACTGTCAGCTTTCTGCACTGGCCTGAGCAGCCTGAGGGCAGAGCCTGGGTCTGCTTTCAATGAACATCTGCGACCTAATGTGGAGGCCATCTTTGGATAAAGATGTGGATTTGTTGAAAATTGAATAAATGCTCATTAGGCAGTAAAAAAAGCAAACTGTCTCCATAATTTATATTCTATCCACTGTTTTTTTTAGTTCATTTAAGATAGAATGTGATTAAATGCCATAAGAAGTCATAAACAATGTCAGGGATTGGGGTGGGAATGGCTGGGGGTAGTGCGGTGAGTGTGAGAAGACATGTTGAGGGACCTGCCTGGCCCCCTTGTTAAATATCCTGGGTCAAAGAACATTGCAGAAGTGAGGTCAGAGTCACATGCTAGAACACAAGTTTCATGAGGGCAGGGACCTTAGTATTGGGCACTGTCCCCTGCCCGATGGACAGAGCACAGGGCCCAGCATATGGTGAGTTCTCAGTAAATCCTGCTGAGATTTATACATGACAGCAGGAAATATAAGGGCCACAATCACAAAGTAGCAGATAGTTCAGTTTCCTGGAATCTGGGTTCCGAGTAGGGAAAGCTAGAAAGTTGGGACAGGACTTGATTGTAGGGCTAAGAAATTCAGGCACGATTTGGAGAAAAGCATTGTTTCAACTTTAATAGTCACCAATAAGAAGGTAGGAGGTGGGGGGGGTGTTGGGAGACAGACATAGGGGCTCCAGAAATCATACTACCTCAGCTGGGACTGTGAACAGTTCTTCAGCAGGTTGTAAGAGAGAGGATCCAAAGGGGTGATGCTGTCTCTAGCAGCTCCTGGGAGAGAGGAGCTGCATTGTGTAGGGCCTAATATGGGGGCCCAGGACTGGAGTGGAACAGAATGTTCCTGGAAACCCCTGCTGCTTCCAAGGCCACAGGCTAGGCAGCCTAGCATCGGTTCTTCCTACAGACCTCTGGCCCCTAATCAGATCCAATTCTTCCAGTTCTAGTGGCCTGGGCACCCACAGTTTATATTTGTAGCACATTTAATTTATGTTAGATAAGTAATGAAATTTCTATAATATAACTCTCTTCATGACACCCTGAAATATATCACATGCTTTCTGTATATGTGATATCTGGTCCTGTGAGTTTCTGACATATTAGGAGAATACATTCCTTTGTCCTCAGAGGCATTTCTCTGAACTTTTTGTTTCTTCCTGCCAGCCAAACCAAAGCAGAGGATGGTAGCATTCTCTCAACACTCTTTCATTCACTCCCCTTAGTACCTGTCTATGTGCCAGGCACTGTTCTAGGCACCAGGATACTAACCAAAAGATCTTTTCCCACTGGTGCTTACATGTTTAGTGGGAGAATAAATAAATGAGTAAACTGCTTGGTGTGTCAGAAGATGGTAAGTGCTATGGAGAAGTAAGCAGGTGGGGAGAATGGAAAGAGGGGGAGGGGGAGGGTGCACCTTGTCATTTTAAAGGGGTGCTCAGGGAAAGCTTGCAGAGAAGGTTAAATGGTGCTGAGGGATGACTAGGGATCCCTGGGCTCTTGGGGTGACCAGCAAGAAGCAGATTATCCTTGATGTTCACATGACAGATAATGGTGGCAAAGTTGTTACAACTCTTGATTTTTAAATGCTGCCTGTAAGTTACTGACAACACAGCCAGTCCAATACATCTGTGAGCTGCTAATTTTTAGGTTGTCAGTCTGGGGCCTCCCTGGCTGTGACATCAGTCATGCTGTTTCTCTTCCATGATCATTTGCACATTGGAGTTGACTAATGTGAAGGACTCAGGAGTTCCCCCACTGAAGCACACAGATTTTTAAACATCATAGTGTAACACAGGATGCATTTTTAATAGTCTTGTTGCTCTTTGGAGAGATTAGCACTTTTCAAACCAGAGTTTGCAGACTCCTGTATATTGCAAGTTCTTTATGAGATGTTAGTCATTTTTTGGCATTTTCAGTTTAATACTGGTTCTTAGAAATTAGCTTAAGGGAGTTTGGGTCAACTGGAGGACTCCCTTGTAGCAGAGTACTGGACACAACTTCAGGGCAGTGTGTCTGTCTGTATTTGCAGCACCTTCATGCCAATCAAAATTGTAAGACCTCAAGACTTGCTGAAGTGTGGCTTCATAGTCAGTGGAAGGAACTGGTAATCTTGCCACAAGGATAGTACACGCTTGCAGCATGAAGAGCACCTGGGCTCTGCAGTCAGACCCATGCTTGCCAGTGGATACCAACAGGCAATCATTTATTTCCACTAAGCAGGGCAGTAAGCAGCCAGTGAAGAAAGTGCACACTTCCGGTGCCAGCAATACTTAAATGAGGCCCCTATTTAATGCAGAGCTCAATAATGCTCTAATGCTGTTAACTTCCAGTGAACAAGACAAAGTTATCAAATGCCATGTTAAAGTTGGCACTCAAGGACTACTTGCTGACAGTTTTAGGTTTGAAGACTGATTATGCCACGTTTCAAAGAAAGCCTTGGAGTTTGTTAATACTGTTCTGTACAGCAAGCTCATGTGTCAGGCATTTCTTGAATTGGTATTATGGATGTCTAATATAAAAACAGTCAAAAACAAACCATGCTGAAGCCTCCTCATAGTTTGAGATTGAGTTCAAGCACAATAATATCATCCACAACCTTAAACTAATGCAAGATTAAGTGAATGTAACTGAGGATATTGATTTGACTTTTATTGGCTTCCTAGGGGTTTTATATTTAATATATAAATATGTTTTGGTCTTAGTAACGTAAGAGCTTTAGTAAATTAAGGTGTTTATACTTGGCATGTTAGTATGTATAATAACCAATATAATAAAAATTATTGTTAATAAATGTCTAATTTATTTATTTTGTTCCTTAGGAACAAATTTAGTATTTGAAGATGAAATCACTGCATTGCAACCTGAAGTAGATAAGCTAAAAACTCTAAATGTGAACAAAATTATTGCACTGGGACACTCTGGCTTTGAAATGGATAAACTCATCGCTCAGAAAGTGAAGGGTGTGGATGTCGTGGTGGGAGGACACTCCAACACGTTTCTTTATACAGGTAAGTGTTTCAAAGGGATTACAAGGGCCAGGAGTTCCAGATAAGTTACTTTGTCTCTTTTGCCTTTGTAACTGTTACTTATTTTTACTGCTGTTTAAGGGTTCAAGGTGACAGGATTTGATGTGTAGGTTGCACAGGTAGCAGAACCTGGGACTCTGGGTTTGAGTCCTAACTACTATGTACTAGGACTGTAAGTGTCCTGGAAACCACATGGCCTCTGGTGCCCAGGAAAGAAAGCACACACACTCATCACCCACCTATCTGCCTCTCTGCCTCTCTCTCTCTCTCTCTCTCTCTCTCTCAGCTTGGTGTTAGGTAGTTTTAGACTTGATCATAGCCAAAAAGCCAAGAAGTGACAGTTTAAGAAAACTTTTTTTTTTTCCGTTTTGAACCTATAATATCCCCAAACATTTGAGTCTGGCAGGTCTTTCACACTGAACCCCCTCCCCACCTAACACTGCACAGATATTTGAATTGGTCCCCAGAAAAGGACGAAGAGGAAAGTATTTTCAAATACTAAATTCTTAAATTTATCTTTAAATACTAAATTGGTGAGCAGCGTTCCTATCAGCAGTGTAAAGGAAGGCTTTGACGTGGGGACGACAAAAGAGTCTCTCCTCAAAGAGTCTGCTGATTCTCCCATCCTCATGTGGGCCATTGAAGGCCATCCTAATTTTTATAAAAGAAAAACTCAAAAATACCCTAAACAGTGGGAAATATCCAGAAATGTTAAAAGGGATTATCACTAAGAAAGTAATTTTTATTTTCAAATAATAAAGGCATGTTACTTTGGCAATCAGAAAATGAGATACAGATTATAAAAAGGAAAAAAAACAAACAAAATATTGGGTCAGTAGTTCTCATTCCTGGGGCTTCCAGTCAAGATGGCAGAATAGACGGTTCTCAGTGTCACTCCTTCACATGAATCAATCAATTTACAACTATATAAAAAAGCCATAACAGCCAAGCTGGGGCTGCTAGAGCTCAGGGGAAGAGGCGGAGAGACCTACGCAGTGCATGAAGGCAGGAGAAGTCACAATGAGAGAAAGAAAAAACTGCTCTGACCATTTCACATCGTGGTCACTTTAAGGCTGGAGCTGATGAGCACACAGAACAGGAGCTGGCAAAAGCCACAGCTGTGCCCTTTGGATGGAGTTGCTTGGAGGCGGCAGGGGAGAAGAGGGCCTTGATGGCCCCCAGGCCAGCAAGACCACTAATACGATTCCTGTGGACCCACATAGGAACAAGGAGCCACAGCAACTGAAAAAATGAAGCCACTCAGAGGCTGGTGAGTCATCACAAGCGACTGGTGCACAGTCCATCCCAAAGGAAATGTTTGTAGCATGGGCAGTGGGGAAGACAGGCCCACCAGGGGAACACTGGGGCACAACAAGGACAGCTGATTTGCATCCCGATCAGCATAGGACCACTCAGAGGAGATTGGTCAGGAATATAGAATTGCATGGGGTGCAATTTGATGAAAAGACACAGGCTCGGGCCGGCCCGGTGGCACACTCGGTAGAGTGCGGCGCTTGGGAGCATGGCGGCGCTCCCGCCGAGGGTTCGGATCCCATATAGAGACCGGTCTGCTCATTGGTTGAGTGCGGTGCGGGCGCGACACCGAGGGTTGCGATCCCGTTACCGGTCACGAAAAAAGACAAAAACAAAAAAAGACACAGGCTCAGATCAGAGTTACTACACAACCCAGGTGCACCAAGTCTCTGGAGAGCCTATAAAGTCAACTATTATAACCTGTGCTGCACAAAAAGCCTTCCCTAGGGAAGCAGCAGCAAAGCAGCAACTTAGCTGAACCACACAGCTCAAGTACTGGTCCCCAAAGGAAGTTCCCCCACTTTAGAAGTAAGCAAAGGACAAAAAATTAGTTCCAGCTCAGACACACCACCAGCTCCTTGGGTCTACCTAGGGACATGAGGTATGGAACCAGGGACCAGACCCCCACAACCAGGCACACCACCAGCGCCAAGGAGCATGCCAAAAACATCATGTCCATGTGGGTGGACCACCACAGCCACTAAAATAACCATGGCTGCCACAAAAGCGGCTAGACACCACAACCACCATGCAGATGGTCTGCCAGCCACTGGAGTACACTGACACAAGGAGAGTCACCAGCAGAGATAAAGAAAAGAAGAAGATGTCTCTCTCCACAAAGCCCACTTCAGAGTGACAGAAGCAGCCGCTCTACAATAATATTGGGGGACCTGATCACACTTCTCAGCATTGGACATATCATCTAGGCAACAAATCAACAGAGTAACCATTATTCTTTCAGAAGGAGAGAAGAAATCTAGGGTAATTAGAGGGGGAACGGGGAGAGGGAGGGGGATGGGGAGAGATTGGACAAGGGACATAGAGATAATTACAATTTGTAACAATATATATGCTAGTAATATTGATTTGATCAACACATCTCAACGTTGAACTCCAAAAATATGTATAATCAATTCTGATGAATACATTTTTTTTTTTTTGTCTTTTTCCGTGTCCGGCAACGGATCACAACCCTCAGTGTTGCCCCCGTACCGGACCGGGGACCGGCAACGGGATCGCAACCCTCGGTGTTGCTCCCGCGCCTCGCTTAGCCAGTGAGCGGGAACCGGTCGAATACATTTTTTTTTTAAAAGTTCTCATTCCTAATTGAAGTGAGCAGGTCACTTAACCTCTCTGAACCTGTTAGCTTAGCTTCAAAATGGGAATGCTAAGGCTCATGGTGCCACACTGTTGCAAAACTTACTTGAGATGATACATGGGAGAGCACTCTATAAGCTATAAGTAGCTACATCCTGGTACTGAGTGTTGTGGAGGTTGCTTACCAGTAGAAATATGCCAACCAAAATTGTGACTCACCAAGTAGGGCTGGCCTTCGTTAAGAAAGAAATGCCAGTATTAATGTGTGCTAATTCAGATCCTTCACAACTATTTTACTTCTTGGTAGACACAGGCTAAAGAATAATTTCAAACTAAGTTATACCCATTAGTCATTGTGAAATCAATTTAGTGGGTTATGACCAGTATGGACATTTTTTAAACAGACTACAGTAAAATAGATAGATTAGGAACTTAGATTGTTCATAAGAAGAATAAACGTTGTTTCATGGGAAAAGATGTATATAAAGTGGTGAGAACGGCCCCACATACAGCATACAGCAGGCATATAGCAGGCACACAGCAGGCAACCTGTAAGTGGGATGAGGATGAGGATGGATATTGGACAGTGATGTAGACTTTCTCAGTGTAGGTAACATTGCAGTCAAACATCTGAGAGCCACCTGAGTAATTCCAGGAGGGCTAAAGGGACTGACAGAGCCAAGACCAGGAAAAATCCCATTGGAGCAGGTAATAGGGCAGTACTGGGTAGAGGTTAAGACTCAAGTCCTACTGACTCCACAATTAATGGTGGGATCCTGTCTATGCCTGATTTCCTTCACCTGTACAATGAGGGTGGGAACAAGAGGACCTATTTTAAAGTGTCATTGTGCCTCAATATATGTACTGAATGGATGTAGGTACATGTTCTCAGAACAGGGCCTAGTTCCTTTTGCTATTCTTATTTCAGTTATGTGCCAGCTCCATGGAGAAGACTTGGTTGCTTTTCTCTGAGGCAGTGTCAGAACCCTAGGATACACCGTTGGAGCTAGATGTGTCTGCTGCCCCTTCATCCTTTAGAGCAGTGGTTTCAAACTTTTTGACTATGATTTACAATAAGAATAACATTTTACACAAGGACCCAACACACACATGTACATATGTGTGTGTATTCATATGCACACACACATAAGCACACATACACATACATATAAATGAAAGAAAACTTTCACAAAGAACCTGTAACGCACCCTGACGTTTTCTGTTCTACTGTTTCATTTTTTTTTTTTTTAATGCCGGTTAGCACTCATTAAATTACCTTCCTTGTGTTGTAGCTAACCCATAGTTTTTAAAACTCAGCTTTAAATGAGGCATCACCAGAACAGTGCATGAACAATGAAAGGAGTGTCACCCTCCATTCAGATGGTGAAGTCATTCCTGTGTTCCCTTGACCTGTCTGTACACTACCTTAATCAATGCCGTCTCACACCACCAACTGGTCTTCCACAGCCTGTGGTGTGTGGCCATCAGTCTGTGGGCCTGGGGAGGCCTAAAAGGGATAGTGGCCATGCCCAGCTTCCCAGTAATTCTGCAGCCTGTCCTTTTGTTCTTGTCTCTTTAGCTCCAGCCAATGAAGTCCAGAAACATAGTATGTGCCTTTTGCTAAGTAGATGAATTTAGTTAATGATGAATGACTAGATGAAATAAAGATTTGATGATAAAAATGATAGTATGTTTTTCTGTAAATATTGAAGTAGATCATTACAGTCCCTGAGAAAACTGGGACAGCTGAGTCATAGTCATTTATTTCACATTTCGTGATTGCTTACCAAGATTAAACTTGTTCTCAGGAAAATCTTCAATTTTGGTATTCATCGTTTTGAGGAATGATCTTAACAATTAAAGGTAATTCCAGGACACAATAGGGGATGAAGCATATTTACCTGTTAAAATAAATTTTCTCAGCCTTAAAAAAAATTCCTCTCATCATTTTATGGAATTTGCATTAAATTAAAATAATGAATCTGTTAAATATGATTAATTAATAAAAATATAGTTAAAAGACTACATCCCTTGGAAGGTAAATCCTGCTGAGAACCGTTTCAACATGCACAGGACCCAATGCACACACCTGAAAGAAAACTTGCCCAAAGCACCTGGAATGCACCCTGATATTTTCTGTTCTGTTATTCAATTTTTTAAATGTCAGTTACCACCCATTAAATTAATTTTATTGTATTGTAGCTAGCCTGTATTTTTAAAAACTCATCTTTAAATTAGACATGAGTACCGGTCAAGATGGTGACGAGTCTGGAGCGGGGGCGCCAGAAGACAGTGTGAGCCTGAGAAGTGTGAGCTGTGCTGACAGAGTGCTACTTGCATTTACAAGAGCAACAAAAAATGAATAAGTCTTTGATCAACTAATCTACAACTATAGAAAAGCAACTACAGACTCGAGGTTTAGGGCCGGCGTAAAAGAGGATTCCTGGGAGCGCCTGAGACGCACTGCGGGACCGAGTGAGCAGCCCGAGGAAGCAGTGGCTGAGAACTGAGACGGCGATGACACAGAAACGGAGAGGGAGCCGCTCGGCAGGCTCAGCTCTGTGAGTGACCCCCAGCCCGGCCCTGCTTGCGGGGCAGATGCCTGTCCGGCTTCTGCCT